GAAGCCAGATGAAGGAGCAGTGTAATAAGCATGTTGAGACGTTAATGATATGCCTCCTTTTTAGAGGAAAGATCTAAGGACTAAGATGATTCACACTTTCGCCCATTTTCCTTTGGGTCTCCTTTGCTATAGTGTTTCCAGTGAGAGTAAATGGTAAATGGCCTGTATTTATATAACGCTTTACTAGTCCCTAAGGACCCCAAAGCTCTTTACATATCCAGTCATCCACCCATTCACACACACATTCACACACTGGTGATGACAAGCTACATTGTAGCCACAGCCACCCTGGGGCGCACTGACAGAAATGCAGGTCAAGTAGGTGCTTGTATGCTTTTTCCCGCCAGATCGTCACTGATATCTGTTACCATCTACCGTTTCCTCTGCATCTCAGATCAACTGTAAATCAATTTCTTTTCTAACTTGTGTTAGGAGATGAAAAACACCTTTTTCCATCCATTTCAAAATCATATCCTTTGAGTATTTTCACAGCACGTTCTGCCTTTGATAGGATTCCTTTCCTGTTTCAGATTTAATTACCTACCCACATACCGCACCTCAGTTCTGCAGCTTGCCTAGACAATGTAGAAACTAGAAAGGTGTGTCTCCAAATTTGCTAGCAGGGCTCAAATGAGTCAGGCATTGCTTGCACACACACCTCCAAACAAGCACACTGACACATTAAGTGCCTGCATGTCCACACAGGCCATGCTGACTACACTGAAGAAAAAAATATGTACTTTCAGATGCCTGATAAAGAGATGTCAGCCATGGTGGGGCAAATGGGATATATAACCAACCTTAGGCTAAAGATGGGCAGGATTTAGACACACCCTGGCCTCTAGCTTAGCTGTCAGCACATAGTACAGCGACTCTATAGGGGACTATTATGAAAGCAGGGTCTAAAGTTTTCTGATCAACTGATAATTGTGGAACTTTAGACACAGAGCTGGAACTGTGTGAAGCTACATACTGATAGTATGTTACTTTTAAAGTAATCAATAATGACACCATCCTCTTAATAAGTAAAACATGATCAAGTAAATATGACATTGCTTATGTCAAGAGGCCCACTCATTTTGCTGCTTCAGTCTTACCTCATAGTTTATAATGCTACAGGTTCATATGAACAGTATTCCTGTGTTGTTTTGCTAACTGCGTCTTCTGTGGCGCTATCATTAGGGTGCTTTCCAGTTATTGCCACAGGGCGATAAAGCAGAGTGACATTAGTGGAACTTGGAGTAATAAAAATGTCAAAGAGAATTCATTTTTACCTGACTTCTTTTTCTATTTTTTTCTTACAAAAAGAGGGATGTTTTTGCTTGCTTTATGAGATTTGCTGTTCAAAAAGACTCTTGTTGCCTGGCAAAATCATTTAGTTTATACAGCAGGAATTAATGCATCTTTTGTTCCCTTAAATACTGCAGGA